ATTTCCAGGAAGGCATTCAATAATCCGAGTTGTACTGATTGCGGGAATGGGATTGTTAGTAATGTGGACTGATGACCTCATTGCCTCATAAATTAGGTCATGTTGACCTATACGTGGTTCCCTTAGTGGATCATGATAAATTCCTAGTGAATTTGTCATGATGGGCTCACTGTACTGACTGGTTCATCTTATTATCCTCCACTGGTGCCCCGACAGAGAAAACCATTAGCGCAGGCGGGTGCACCTTTCCATTATCATCCATAACAAAACCATAATGATTTTCAGGGGGACCGTATGGATGTCAACCTGATGAACAATTGTCAGGTCCAATAATCCCGAGTTGTACTAATAGGGGGAAAGGGGATTGTTAGTAATGTGGACTGATGATCTCATTGCTAGCAATGTACCATGTCAGGTTGACCTCCACGCGGTTCCCCCTGGAAACCATCGTGACAAATTACTGATGAATTTGTCACGATGGGCTAACTGGCCTGACCTCATGCTCATCTTATCATCCTCCACTGGTGCTCCGCCAGCGTAAACCATTAGCGCAGGCGGGTACCAATCCATTATCATCAATTAAAAAAAAAAACCCCCAAGCGGTTCTTTCTGGAAATTTGTCACGATGGACCAACTTACCTGACCTATTCATCTTATCATCTTCCACTGGTGCCCCGCCAGCATATACCGTTAGCGAAGGCATTCCATTATCATTAATTAACAAACCACGAGCATTGAATACCGAAGAAACCACACTACTTATGATAAACAAATTTGTATAAGAACTAGATTGTAGGACAAACCGTCTAGTATAAGAATGGTATGGATAGTTGAAAGTTGTTTTTTACCCGAGCATGTGACACTAATCCGTAATGTACATTAAGATGCGTTCATACAACTTAGGATTACTGAATCATGCAATGTATGGTACATTACCAGCAAGTGATTGTCGTAAAATGTTGTTTAACTAAAGTTAGTAATTCGTTTTTTAATTACGTATGGTCTTACAGCAAAATACCAGAGTCTGTTATAAATCTGCCTGAAAAAAGATTAAATGTAAAACATTTCCTTTGTAAAAAACTTACTATAAAATTGAAGAATTTGTTAACGACAATAATGTTAATGTTAAGAAAAACTTTAAATCCGTAGCACTGACAATATTATCTGATTACACTAATATGATACACAATACACAATAGATGTTTTTTTTATATAATAATTACAGTATAACAAGTAATTATTATATAATCAACATAGAAATTGTGTATCATTATTAGTGTAATCAGATAATATTGTCAGTGCTATGGATTTAAGTTTTTCTATAAAAACATTATTATCGTTAACGAATTCTTCAATTTTATAGTAAGCTTTTTTGCAAAGGAAGTCCTTTATCTGGCAGATTTATAACAGACTCTGGTATTTTGTTGTAAAACCTCATCCAATTGCCATAAAACGAATTCCTAACTTTAGCCAAACGACTAGGTTTAGGTAAAATCAGTTTGTTATTGTTACGAAAGCTTTTATTAGTGGATTCACCTTCGTTGTGTGAACGAGGTTTTACAGAAACAAATTATTGTTTACAATGTAAAAGCGATTAATATTAATACACAGTGCAAATACATTGAAGGTTGCTCCATAATCATAATAAATACATAAATAAAATTAACTATTAATAGAAAAATAGTAATACATACCACAACAGTGTAACGGACCACTGCCTGTTCATTTATTTATGTTCATACATATCAATTAAAATCCCTATTAAAAATGGAGGTTAATGGAATAAGGGTGAAAATTTACAGTTGTATGTATTTTTCAATTAAATCAAAATCGTCATAAAATATTAAACATATTTAGAGATGGGTCACTTTATTATGATGATGAGATGCATTTAAAATAGATGTTGTTCGATGGCGAGCATCGAACATCTATTTTTATTACCTACTCGATCTGAACACGAAATTTGATGAAAATCGGTAAAGCCGACTCTGAGGAGTTTGGTAACAAATTTCATTTCATCATAACAATTTATATTGTGATGAATTTTATTATATATCACAATTTTAATTAATTAATTATATGCCTAAAATAACAAACACCGCTCAAAGGTGACTGACATAGTGATCTATCAACGCACAGCCCAAACCACTGGACGGATCGGGCTGAAATTTGGCATGCAGGTAGACGTTATGAAGTAGGCATCCGCTAAGAAAGCATTAATTTGATTAATTTTGACAATTTTAAACCGATCGGATAAAATAGACGTAGGCATCCCCTAAGAAAGGATTTTGATAAATTCCACCCCTAAGGAGATAGTTTAACGCGAGCGAAGCCGCGGGCAAAATCTAGTGTACTATAAATATCGGCCTAATCTGTTTGTAGAAATTTTCTGACTACGCGGCATGTATTTAGGATTATAGCCTTCTGTAGTTGGCAGTATATACTATGAGGCAAGTTCAGGGTATTTATAGACTGAATATCGGGCTAATAGAAGATCGGGCTGAGACTTTGCATGCATAAAGCTACAATGACGTACGCATTCCCTAAGAAAGGATTTTGATAAATTCCACCCCTAAGGAGATAAATTAACGCGAGCGAAGTCGCGGGCAAAAGATAGTTAGATATATTAGGTATATAACTATAATTACAGGTATAGGTTGAGGTAAAACAGATATTGCCGTTTATATGCCTTATCTCCACCCTTTGGCTGGGTTACGGGAATTCGCGAGCAGTCTTCCGCAATCCCGGAAACGCGATATCTCCTTGAAACCTGTGGTTAGTTCATCTTAAATTTTGTCATAACTGAGCTGACTTTATCCTCATCCTTTCATCATCCACTGTTGGTCTAACAGCGTACACAGTTATCATCTACACATATAAATGAAATTAGAGTGTCTGTTTGTAATATTGAAATAACCGTTTTTTACTACATGCATATGAATATACGGTACATATACCAAAATAACATTTTTTACAATTTTTGTCTGTCTGTCTGTCTGTTTGTTCCGGCTAATCTCTGAAATGACTGGACCGATTTTGACGGAATTTATTTTGGCAGGTAGCTAATGTAATAAGGAGTAACTTAGGCTACTATTGTTTTAGAAAAAATCTCTCGTTTTAAATTCCACGCGGACGAAGTCGCGTGTGCAGTTAGTAGTCAAAAAAAGCTAATTCTCTAAATTAGCACAACGTGGATTAGAACGCCGATCTCATTTATGTGCATTTATGCGGAAGTGGCTATTATGATATATTAAAATATGCAAGTTAATCGATATAATTATATATCGATTAACTATATCGATTTATTAAATATTAATCATATCGATTATGTAATGTTTTATAATCGTCTAAAAGTAAAGCTGGTACAGATCATTGTGCACATAAAAATCATAAACTTAAATAAACTACCCACTTGTTTCGTTAAAAATATTTCTTAACATAGTATAAACAAAGTCATCGCCGCTGTCTGTTCACTTATATGTACATATCTTTTAAATTACGCAACGCATTTTAATGCAGTTTTCAGCAATAGATAGAGTGATTCAAGAGGAAGGTTTATATGTATAATACATGCGTGTTAAGCTATATAACAAGCCGAGAAATTAAAGATTTGTAATGCATCCATGCGAAACCGCAATAGCTAAACTAAAACAAAACTAGCTGTAGACGCGACTTCGTCCGCATGGAATTTAACTTTATTTTTAAAATAAAAGTAACCTAAGTTACTTCTTATTTGTTCCGGCTAATCTCTGAAATGGCAGTAACCGATTTTGTCGGGTTTTTTTTTGGCAGGTAGCTGATGTAATAAGAAGTAACTTAGGCTACTTTTATTTTAAAAATAAAGTTAATTTCCATGTGGACGAAACATGGAATCAGAGATTAGCCGGAACAAATAGACAGACAGACAAACAATTGTATAAAATGTTATTTCAATATTACAAACAGACACTCCAATTTTATTTATATGTAAACATGATATTGTAAGAACTAAAATGTGTAAATAAATTTCAAGTAAATTACTCCTATTGACAGTCGATAGTATAAAATATAATAATGTTTAGAAATAGAAATAATCCTTATCAAATAAACTAGTATAACTCTTTTGAATAGTCGTATTTTTTATTCTACCGCTCACTTTTAAAAGCAGTCCTATTACAAAAAGAACGAGGAAAAAAATAACGGGTTGCTCTTTTAAATAAATGTTGTTCAACTAATATATATAATATATAAGGTATATATGATACTCTTTATACATATAGGTAATAAAATAAAAGTAAACTTTACGATCAGGGCACGACTGAATAAACAGGTAATATGTATTTCGAACAGAAAAAAAAACATTAACACGGCTGGCAATGGAAGTGAATGTATAACATAGAAAAAACACAGGATTTTTTTTCTCTTTCAATCTGCAATCAGTCCCAGAACTATGAGCATATTTATTGGGTGTGGGAACTAAGAATGGAGTGTCCACCCCAGCGGGAGGATCTACTCCTTAAGCATACTGCAAACATTACACAATGTCGCTTCTTTTTAGTCGGTAAAGAAGAAAAATATAAAAGTAAAAAATTGTGCATATATTCAAATTCAAAAATCATTTATTTGTATAGGACATTTTAGCCGCTCATGAACGTCAAATTTTTTATAAAATTTAGTTTTAATTAATCCTAAAAATATGGTTCAGAATAAGAAACTGATAAGCACTATAAAAGGTCTGTCGTTAACAAACACACTTAAAAGAAATAGTAACTTAAATACATACTCGGGATTTATAAAATTTACAATATCTCATCGAGATCTCATATATAAATTAAATGCAAAAAGAACTTTTACTGACTTCAAAATAGCAGTTATAGAATCAAACTAACTTAAATTAGGTCTTTATTATAAGGTATTTATTATACTCGGAATTTATAAAATTTACTTAAATTATATAACTATCTCAGATAGAAATATATATATAAATATACAAATAAAATACAAAAAGAACTTTTACTGACCTCAAACTAGCAGTTTTTGATTCGAACACATAAATTAATTCACAGCACAACACGTATTCACCTAGTCTCAGTATGGTTAACGTCGCACGCAGTTTCGATTTCACAAGGCGAAACGACCGGCGTATGCGCATTCATGTCCTAAACTAACTATCGATAGAAGGTACAGACTTAATGAGTGAACGTTATTGAGGATTTTTTTGTTTTATTTTGCAATAACATTATGTAATATTTATTTACATGAGTAGGGTTGCCAGTTATACATAAATAGCCATGGCAAAAAAAGTATGTAATGACAAAAAATACCTTTTACGTGCTAAGATATCCAAGAACTCACGGAAACGATTTATTAAGACCTATATCTTGAGTACAGCTTTGTATGCGTGTGAAACGTGGTCATTAACTCAAAAAGAAAAGGACAAACTGGAAGCTTTTGAAATGTGGTGCTGGTGAAGGATGGAAAGAATTCGCTGGACAGATAAAGTAAGAAATGAAGAAGTAAGCACAGGGTGAAAGAATAAAGGTAGATATTGAATGCTATAGAAAGTAGAAGAGGAATGTTGAGGCACTTGATACGGCACGATGAATTTTTAAAACTAATTATTGAGGGAAAGATAGAAGGAAAGAGGGGGAGAGGAAGACCAAGGCACAGCTACATCGAACAAATTAAAGACAGTATTGAAGTCGTGTCGTATCAAGGCTTAAAGAGTATGATGGAAGATCGTGGAAAGTGGCAAGAGCTCCACCGACAAGAGCGTTGCTCTTAAGTTTATGAATGAATGAGGGTTGCCAGATCGCCAAACCTAATAGCCGGAGGGATGGAGATTGTTAGTAATGAGGACGTGTAGGATTGCCAGATGGAATAGCCGCATGGTGGAAAAAAGGGATCGATTCGAAATGTAGATTAATAAATGTACCATGTCATGTTGACCTCCACGCGGTTGCACCTGGAAACCATCGTGACAAATACAAGGTGAATTACCACGTATACTGTTAGTGTAGGCGGGTGCGCCATCATTCATAAGAAAAAAATAGCCGGACAGACAAGCCAGTTTTTTGGGAATTCTAACTACGTACGTATGTTTGGCCGGAATTTTGGACAAAAAGGCCGGTCACTAGGGTGTCCGGCATTTTTAGACATTATGATGCAGGCGTTAACAAAGATTTTGTGTCTCAGTATTAATAGGTACGAGAAAAAAAGTGTACGTAAAATCCAGTTTTTTTTTATTATTATTGTAAATCTTACAAAATAGTAATGAAATATAAATATAATCGAATGCAAAATCCGTCTCCTTATTATTATTAATCAGACAAAAATAAATTAGATAAACATTTACTAATATTTTTAAATCGTTCTTCAATTCTAATGAAAGGCAATTGCATAAATAAGTTTCATTTACTTGCTGTTACTTCAATATAAAAAAAAAACAGAAAAAACGGATTAAACAAAACAATATTTCTTCTTTTTAAGTTAAATAATAAATATAATTATTTGTTTTGAAATATAAATAAGAATTTTTACATTATTTTTATTGTAAAAGAAACCTACCGGACACGCAATCAGAAAGCCTAATTATGTATGTATGTTCGGCTTTATCCGGACGCCTGGCAACCCTACACGAGTGGATAGCTAGATGCCAATTTATTCGCTATGATATTTAGAGAGGAAATACTTATGAGTGTAACATATTGAGATATTCGATTGAATGACGTAAAGGCAGTAGTTGAAGGTAGAATTAAAAAAAATATTATAGATGCATAGTAAAATTTATTATGTAGCCAAATTTAATTGGTCAATGAACATTTTATCATCTGCAATTTAATTTTTCTATATTATATAACTAAAAAAACCCAAAATCAGCATGTTATATCAAAACATTACTCTGTGTTTACAGACATTTAATGTTGTGTCACACCACTTTACTTCCGATGGTCGCGGGTTCTATTCCTGGCACCTACAAACATTTGTATTCATGAGTATGATTGTTTGTATCGGTCTGGGTGTTTTCTATGTAATATATATTTTTTTTATGGATGATATCTAAATATATATAACTCAAAGGTGACCGACTGACATAGTGATCTATCAACGCACAGCCCAAACCACTGGACGTATCGGGCTGAAATTTGGCATGCAGGTAGATTTTATGACGTAGGCATCTGCTAATAAAGGATTTTGATTAATTCTATCCCTAAGGGGATAAAATAGGGGATGAAAGTTTGTCAATTTTAAACCGAACGGGCTGAGACTTTGCATGCATAAAGCTACTATGACGTAGGCATCCCCTAAGAAAGGAATGTGATAAATTCCACCCCTAAGGGGATATTATTAACGCGAGCGAAGCCGCGGGCAAAAGCAATGATAACGGTTTACGCAGGGGCACCAGTGGAGGATGATCAGATGAGCGTAAGATCAGGTTATCTGCCCTGATCTTGCCTATCGTGGTAAATTCACTACATGTACAACCGAGGCGAGTCATCCATTAAAAAATTTAAATGTGCAAATGTCTATCAAAGGCATTCCGCGCAGATTGTAACGGTCGAATGATAGCCTTCACCTCGATATCCAAGGATTTGTCCGCCCGGCAGATGTAGTTATATAAATTATTGACGTTTAAGGAGCCTACAGAGTCGTCTGACGTAAGTTTATTTTTTTAATAAAACCGAAAAGTCATAGATTAAAAATTAAAATATTCTATACTCTGTTTTTTAATGTCAAGACACAAAAAGTATAGCTATTCAAAGGGTCAACGCTGCCAGTATGTTCGGAACCTTGCCTAAAGAGACTCCTTTTAATAATATATTTTAGTTACTATATTATATTTTTTAAGATTTTAGTTTTAGGATAATAATGTTAGTTAGTTATGTATTTCCAACAGATAAAAACATTGTTACGGCTGGCAACGGAAGTGAATATACAGTATATTAGAATGTCTTTGACACAACTTATAAAAAATAACAAAAATATAAAATTGTATAAATCAAATTAAAAAATCATTGATTATACTAGGACATTTTAGGCGCTTATGAACGTTACATCTTTAATAAAATTTAATTAAAACGAAAAGTTATAAATGTATAAAAAATAAAAATGACCTACACTCTTTTTTTAAATCTCGAAGCCCTATTTGACAAAACCTGTGTTGCCAGCTTATGTTAAATTTAAAAATAGATCGCGAGTTAATACGAATTACCAATTCTTATAGATTATTCGGAAATAATGTGTTTGTAAAGGTGTTTAATTAAAATGCATTAACACGAAATTAATAAAGTATAGGTATTAATGAATATACAGTTAATGTATCAAAGTATATATTTTTTAATTGATTTTACTACTTTTTCATAAAACAAATGTATGTAAAACCTTCGTATGTTGTCATATTTCATATAATATACACTTATATGAAATACTTAGTTGTTTGAACGGAAAAAAATGTAGTTTGTAGTAATACTATAATAATTACTAGGTACATGTAAGGAAATGAGCGGTGAAACTATGTAGCACAATGCCACACCTTCCGATATGATACCGTGTATATGAATTTCCCGTGAGGATATACTATCCCACGAGGATATGTTTTATCTAGAAATGTAACGAAGTTGCTGATTTTTTTTTCATCTACGTACTAACTAAGTTAACTTAGCTTGTATTGTGGGTACTAGATAATTGATACAAATATATAGATGTTGCGGGTGAGTTATACGATGTTGGTGGTCGAGACGATGTATATTACAGATGATAATAAACTGACAATATGTACATAGAAATAATGATCTTATATACTAAATAACAATAGGAAAATGTAAGGTGGGGTGACACAGTTTAGACACGGTAGTGCTTAGTAGACAATATTGAATTTGTCTTACTAGACATTATTATTTTAATGTATCTAGGTGACTGTGTCTCATAATAGATATATTTTTTTCTTCGTAAATACATGCATACTATATATAAAATACACCCAAACAGATATAAAGAATCATACTCATAAATACAAATGTTTGTGCCGTGCGAGAAATCGAACCCGCGACCATCAGATGTAAGGCGGTGTGCTAAACCGATAGATCACCGAGGCCGTCAAATATTTGAGTATTTCGTCGGTCGGGTAGTATTTAGTCCATAGACAAGCTGTCGATATTATAAGTTTTCCTGGTAATTTATATGATTAATAAACAGATACACATATTTGCTCGTAGAATAGTAACAGGCGCTATTTATTCATATAATAATTCGAATATTGGATTAACCAACTGCAAATACAAAAGTTTGTAAGTTTGAATGTTTGTTACTCTTTCACTTAAAAACCACTAAACAGATTTTGATGAATCTTTGCAGCAATATAGCTTACACATCAATAACATATAGGCTATATTTTTTATTTAAATTTATATATTGAATAGTTAGTATATTATAACAATTACATACTTATTTGATTAAATAGATATCATCATTGTGTATTTATAAGCTTGGTGACGGATTAGCTACGAGTATCTATAACGATGAATCAAGTCTTAGATTAACACATTTCTCTCCTCTTGAATCAACTTTCCACAGGTAGTATCAGTTTTTCAATTGTTTTTCAAGTATTATAAAGTTATTTTATTGAATTCAGGATGCGGATGTAAGGTATTTATAAAATGGGCCATTCATTTTATAAATACCTTATAAACTAACATACACAAGAAATAATAATAAAATATAATGTGTCCTCATGGCACTGATGACGGCAATCTACCACGGGTCCGCAGATACACCAGCCCCTTCAGCCAGTAGTCCACCTTCATGAAGGTGGGGAACCGGCCCACTAACGCTTTGAAGCTCGCGTTGTGACTCGACTCCAGTTACATCACCCTCAGTGTCAGGTTAGTTTTGGTCCGGATGTAGTCGACGATGTCCTGCTCCTTTGAGTAGGCGAGACAGGTAAATCGTCGTGGTCAGTGTTGAGACTCGGAATAAATAGTTGGGCCCTATCGGTGCTCTGCCACAATGGTTTCGATTGCAATGTGGATGTAGACTTATTGAGTCTACACCCACATGGGACCATGGGCCACATGGGACCTTGGCATACGGGTTGGAATCTAATAACCATTGGAGAAGTTGTAGTTAAGTTTCCGGATTGAATATTTGTAGTCTCTCACATGATAATTGTAACGGAATTGAACAAAATAATTTAGAACTATTAAGTAAGTTAACTAAAACCAATAAATTCTACAATGAACATTCATTCATTACTAATTTAAGAGCCCACAAGAGTCGGTGGAGTTCTTGAACTTCTTCACGATCTTTCATCAATCCCTTTAGTTGTTGATATGACACAACTCCAACTTTTTCCTTAATCTGCTTGATATCTGTGTCTTGGTCTTCCCCTTCCCCTCTTTCCGTTATTTTTACTTCAGTTCGTGTCGTATCAAGTGCCCCAACAGTTTTCCCTGCCTATACTCAATAATATTTATGATCTGTATCTTTTCTTTAACCCTTCTTTATTCCTTATTTTATCTTTCCAGATAATTATTTCCATCCTTTATTTCCACCCATCTATACTCAATAATATTTATGATCTGTATCTTTTCTTTAACCCTTCTTTATTTCTTATTTTATCTTTCCAGATAATTCTTTCCATCCTTAATTTCCCTCGTCTATACTCAATAATATTTATGATTTGTCTCTTTTCTTTAACCCTTCATTTCTTATTTTATCTTTCCAGCTAATTCTTTCCATCCTTTACATTGAACATAATTATACCAAATTTAATTACAGTTATAATTAAGTCTCTATATGCAGGTACATGAGATTTTATCGTAATTGTTGATAACAATGTTAATATCAATAGATGTGTCACCTTAAAGTTATGTACGAAAACGAATACAATTGTATACACAATACGGACGCAAAAGAAATTCAATTTGATAAGTATTAAAATTTAATCTAATCGCATTGCGTCAAGGAAAGTTATGCGGCATGGCTGTATCTGATAACGGCGGGTTACACGATGTATAACTATGATTCTATTAATTTAACGGTATTGTAACACTTACAATACCGTTTAATGGACTCCATTCTCCGCTATTAGCCTCTCATCTGGGCCGTTGTGCGTGTAGAGCCAGACTATTAAAGTAGCCAGTTATTCGCAGCCAAAAGCGCAGAAGTCTCCTGGTATTTTCACAGGCAAAGTTAGGAGAGCGAACCCCATGTGATGTAAGTTGGAGTCTATTCTCCGCAATTATCCTCTCATCCGGGAGCATCATCCTCTCATGTAGAGCCAGACTACTAAAGTAGCCAGCCAAACTCTTCCCAGAAGCGCAGAAGTCTCCTAGGGTCTTCACAGGCTTCACGAAGTGACCACACCGTTCACCGTTCCGAGGATTCGTGTTCATTGTGAGGCCACAGCAAGCACTCAGGATTACGTGAGCAGCCATCGGCCATTTCATCGGCTTCAAAACAGCCCCGACAAATCGGTCAACTGTCAGTAGCAGATATTGTGTAAAAGTGTTCATTTAAGGGACAGTGGCCCGCTATTGTCCCTATAATTATTTTGAGGTTATTTAACGGTATTTTGTATTATTATAATGGTTCATCAGTCATACTCGTGTATAGGTGCTGGCCTGTTCGGGTTATGGCAACTGATGAAATTATTTCCTTCTGACAATAATGCAATAGCGTATACTTGTGATCACAAGGTTCTCTCTAATTTAACACAAAATGAATCTGTATTTTTGTAATCATGTACAAGCTCATTTGAAAAGAATAAGAGCTGAGTTTCTTGTCTGTTCTTCTTAACTCGAAAACACTCCGAATTGACGTTAGATTTGACATATCATAAAAGTCTGTAATAGACCCACATAAATAAAGATATTTTGCGTTTGATTTTAGCAAACAAGGTGACGAATTACCTGATGGTAACCGTGGCCTATATACATGAACATCACGTTGTCATATGATACCGGCGATACTACTAATCTTCGTCTTCTTTCATTTCAATGACAACTAAATTTCCCCAGAATGTTGCGCATTTAGATCTTCCTTTGTGCAGGATGTTGGGCACAATAGATGGGCCTACTATACTACTAATACTAAAACCACACAACGGATTATGAAGCGGTTTTTTTTAAATAGATAGAGTGATTCAAGAAGGTATTTATGTATAATACATGTACACCCGATGTCGGGGCGAGTAGCTAGTTATACCTATAAAATAGTATACATAAACTTGTATTACAATCAGCCCGTGGTACCTCTGCGCTCCCTTCTTGAGAACTGAAGTGTTTTACTCTATAATTTCACTGCCCAATCTCACCTTTCCAGCACTACTTGCAAAACAAGCGACAGTCAGGTAACGGTATTCAAATTCACAACTTTGTACTCAGAGCACCTTTCGTGACACCTTGTGCCACCTTGGGGGTTATCAAGTTTACAAAATTATATAATAATAATAATAATACTTTATTTGCCAAATGTAGGTAAACAATAAGGTGTTATAAATGTGTTGTTGAGATCCGTACATTAACCTCGTAAGAGGTGTGCAAAATTTCAAATTGTAGGTACAATTAATGTTTAATGAAATAAAATCACTGTACTACGTCATCATACCGATAGTCATTAATCAATTGTCTTTACGTCAATGTATCAGTCAGGAAATCACCAACCGTGTAATAAGTTTTACCAATCAGTATATTTCTAAGAGCAGTTTTAAATTGATGGATACTACCAATAGATTTCAATGTTATGATTACAGTTGTGAAGTCATAAAAACAAAATTAGGTATTACATTATCAAGCCTTTGGGATCAAAGCCAATTAAATTTATCAATTTATAACACCTTCGATGCATTTTGAATGATTTTAAAAATGTGTATATTTAATCGTTTGTTATTAGATTTTCTTTATTTATAAATAACTAGGTACTCGCCCCGGCGTCGCACTGGTGTATTATCTATATTAATAATTTCGTCAAGAGGTACGGTAGACTCGAACGGAACCTTATGTGAATAACAAAACATAATAAAATATTGATTTCGAGTCGACAACATATATCCGCAAAATTCGTATTATGGAATATTTCGTTAAATTCTAATGACACTGACAAACAAACTGCAGTCACCATCTTTTCATGTCACTAGCTAACAACCAATCAACACATCGCTAGCGTTCTGATTACGTAAAACCACAGATAACATAATGTAAAACGAAACGTCTTAACGGAACCAATAGTGAATCTTAACAAAATTAAATATTTTTTTCAGTCGTTAACGTTTCACGGTAATATAGTTTTTGACACTTTTTTATGATAAAAGAGTATATAGTGTGCATGTATTTTTTCTTTAAACCTGAAATAGGCCGATTACAAATTTGACATTTACGATGTTTTTTTTTATACTACGATGGTGGCAAATTTTTATTATTACACACACATGTTGCTAGGTATTTGCATTTTTTAAATAAGATTATGAGACCGAGCGAAGCCGGGTTTTCATCTACTATATATATAAACATTCCTCGTGAATTACTCTATCTATTAAAAAAAACCGCTTCAAAATCCGTTGCGCAGTTTTAAACATTTAAGCATACATAGGGACGGACAGACAGCGACAGCAACTTTGATTTATACTATGTAATGATGATTTTCATTGTATTGCGAATCAATGAAGTTAGAATTGGGTGACAACTAGTATAAAAAAAATACAAAACTGATAAGTAAAATCAAACAGTTTAAATCTGCGAGTTTAATGTTCCTAATGTAATAAACATTAGATACCCTCCAACACATCATGTATTCATCTTTCGACATAAATTCACGATAGTATAATCAAATACCAATCAAATGTATACGTTATCAGATAAGACAGTATCAACGCGCTATACACTGGAAAACGTATTGTTCTAACCACGACAATGTAGTGTAACTCATTATTTTAATTATATTTCATGTGTTGCAGTGACTGTTTTCTTCTAAACGCTTTCTAATACTTATTAAATGATATTAATATCTAGTTGTAACACTTTCTGTCTGTTTTGTAGTAATCTAAAACATCTAGGCATAATATTTTCTGTGTTTTGTGGCAAACTGAGTATGATATTTCGCTTATAAGTGATAAATATATATCTTTGCACGTAATGTGTTGATATAGTGAAATAGTGTTTATCAAGTCGCATAGGACTCATTTTCAGGTAATTATAATAATTTATATATGTTATCGAATAGTAGAGCTGACAACTGATGGCAAGTGATAACCTTACCATTTCCATACCATACCATAGCTTATATATAATACATTTTTTTATGGATGATAATGGAATGGTGCACCCGTGCGCTGACGGTTTACGCTGGCGGGGCACCAGTGGAGGATGATAAGATGAGCTCATGCTCCTATGAGCATGCCATCTCCATCTCCTTGCCATCAGGTATCAGCTATCTGATACCTGATGGCAAGTGGTAACCATACCATTAATACCATTATATATATGCATATATATAATTGTTGTAGTAATAAGAAAAAAAGACTTTTATATTAAATAATAGAGAACTGACAATTAGATGATAATATAAAAGAACTATAAATTCAAATACAAATTTAGGAATGGTTCACCCTCCTGCACTGACGGTTTACGCTGGCGGGGCACCAGTGGAGGATGATAAGATGAGCTCATGCTCATAGCTGATACCTGATGGCAAGTGGTAACCATACCATTTCCATACCATACCATAGCTTATATATAATACATTTTTTTTATGGATGATAATGGAATGGTGCACCCGTCTGCGCTGACGGTTTGCGCTGGCGGGGCACCAGTGGAGGATGATAAGATGAAGTCAGATGACAAAATCACTAGGAATTTGCCACGGTGGTTTTTAAGACGAATCGTATGGAGATCAACCTGACATGACGTATTACTAGCAATTAAGGTAACAGTCCATAAGTACATGAAAAATACAATGAAATAAATTATAAGTACATTGAAAATACCAACGAACGTAGTCATGTAATGCTCGTGATATATAAGTTGCCACTCCAGAGGCCTAAGATAGTGTGGCAACACTAGCCGTCTAGTCAAAATCTCAGGTGTTCCCGCGAAAACATCCGATGGTTTTTCTTAGATATAAAGTTTCAGGCTTGTTACAGCTTTTATTAACACATACATTTTTTATAATATTACGGGATACACAACAAAATGAACAACAATTTACTACTATATCTATCTTAAGAAGTCTACTATTTTTGTATTTTTACTTTTATTTCGTACATTTATAACAATTTTGGAAACACTAATTTTTATATATTAGGCAAGAGTACGAGTTTTTTTGACTTAAAATAAATAGTAACGTTAAATAAAATAAAAACGTAATATAGGCAGTACCAACCATATATACAACTAGCTTTTACCCGCGGCTTTGCTCGCGTTAATTTATCTCCTTAGGGGTGGAATTTATCACAATCCTTTTTTAGGCGATGCCTACGTCATAGTAGCTTTATGCATGCAAAGTCTCAGTCCGATCGGTTTAAAATTGACAAAGTTTCATATTTTCTACCCCTATTTTATCACCTTGGTGGTAGAATTAATCAAAATCCTTTCCTAGCGGTTGCCTACGTCATAACTTATCTGCATGCCAAATTTCAGCCCGATCCGTCCAGTGTTTTGGGCTGTGCGTTGTTTGATCACTATGTCAGTCACCTTTGAGTTATACATATCCCATCAAAAACAAAAATGTGTAATTTACACGAGTTCAATATTATGATATACTTGATTGTTGACTTCGACGACAAAAACTCTATCACACAATGGGTGTCAAGTTCAATGGTTCATATATTGAGACTTATAACAATATAAATATAATTTCCAAATTTCATAATATATCTCAAACGGTTATTTAGATATTAATGTCCAAAAATCGTGATTTTTATCACTGATCAACTATAATAAAATTATAACCGACAAGTAACATGTTTAGATGACCTGGAAGTTCAAATATTGGCATGCAGATAGGTATTTTTTTCCTGAATATAAAGGAAAAAACTGGTAAATTGTTATCATTTTACTTCAATTTTTCATCTTTAATTGATTATATTTTGACTTATAGTTGATCGATAAAAATTCTATGAAAACGTCGATATCTAAATTGACATTGATCCGTTGATGACATTGATAGTTTTCATATACATATTTATCTCGTAAGCCTCAATATATAAACAAATACTTGTCGGTTCCTATTTTAATATTAATAGTAACTAGCAATCGAAAGTAATAATTGGTATATGTAAAACTACACATGTTAGCACCTTAGGCTACAGTATCTTATCTTGAAACTCGGCTTTAACGAAGCGTGATATTTTATATTGTTATAAATACATTTCACAACCATAATACTTGGCACCCATTTAGATCTCATCTCTTTTGTCGTAGAAGTCAACAATCAAGGCATATATCATAATATTAAACTCGGCTATCATTTCACATTTATGTTTTTGATGGGATTTAAATTACGTTATTTGTTTATTTAATTTTTAATAATGAGTAGTGTAGTGTTTAGGAATTTTCTGATAAAAAACTGTTATCGAGCGTTCCAAATTTGAATAGTTTTACCCACAGATAACATAATATTGTTTTAACTAAATAATTTCGTGAAATAATAAATGATTAGGTAAATTAACAGGAAATGATCTATGATTCATAAAACGTCTGTTTACATGAATTCTCAAGAATAAGAATACTATATCTAATATAGATATAGTATAATTATTCCTAATTTTTATACTTTTTACCAATGTTGAAGATAAAACGATAAGAAATATTTCTTTGTGTTTTTGAGTTAGATTATTAAGTATATTTTCTTTATTTTGTCACTATTCCACGTGGATTATTTTTTTATTTTTATTTATTGGCATGTTTGGGCTATTGTCAGATGTGTAGCACCTGTAGCACTGCGACCTACATACATAGATCTATTGTGCTCGCCCTTTTCAGAGTTCGCTACCTAGACCCGTCAGGGACAAGAATTGAAGGATATTCTTAGGAGCGATCGTTTTTATCTCCTCGGGAAAGAGTGTAAACTTTCCAAAGGAGATATTTCGTTTATGCATAAGTGGGCTACAACCACATAGGATGTGAAGCGGCGTTTCCTCTTCAGTTTGGCAGAATCTGCAGATACTTATCGTGCATAGGCCTAGTTTAGCCATATGCTTGTTTAATTTGCAGTGTCCTGTGAGGGCCCTAGTCATCATGCATATGTTGTTTTTACTCAATAGCAATAGTCTATTGGAGTATTAGGTCTTTTGAATGTGTTAATCCTGGCATTACGCACGCGGACAAAGTCGCGGACACAGCTAGTGTGTAGGTAATAAACACGAAAATTAAATTTTCGTAATAACGATTTGCCTTCTTTGTCATGATAAGTTTTAGGAATACTTAATTCAAAATATTTAAAAGTAACTGCACTCGCGACTACGTTCGCGCAGAAATTAACTTTTTTTTTTTTTAAATAAACCTTTTTTTTTAATGACCTGAACTGTACTAGATCTTGGACCCTATAGGTAAATGAGACCCAAGGATAGTACTGGATATGTGTATATTGCGTTTTAAGAATGTATTCCTCTCTATTTCGCTCACTGATTACAAAACGAGTTATAACTTAAGACATAACACAAAAATATCTTGCCACCGCGATGTAGAAATTATACATAAATGAGACAGCGACATCTAGTTCACTTTTCGGAACTATTATATTGTGCTCTTAACTAGATTAGCTTAAACAAGTGGCTTAAGTTATTTCTTTTTACATTAGCTACCTGCCAAAAAAATTGCATAAAATTTAACGTTATTTTTCTAAAATAAAATTAGTTTATGTTACTCCTTATTATATCAGCTATCTGCTAAAAAAGTCCCGTCAAAATCGGTACAGCCATTTCAGTGATTAGTTGGAACAAACAGACTGACAGATAAAAAATATAAAAAATGTTATTTTGGTGTATGTATCATATTTATATTCATATGGAACAAACATAATGACAATAAAAAATATAAAAAATGTTATTTTGTTATGTGTATGATATCATATTTATATTCATACTCATGTATACAAATGTTTGTGCCGTGCGAAAAGACGCGACCATCGGTCGCATTTCAATATTACAAACAGACACTCCAATTTTATTTATATGTATAGATTAAGTAAGTCACACATGACTCCCATAGTTAAAGTGGAGATTGAGTGGAGATTTTAAATGTAAGTTTTACGTATTGGGTCAGTGATTCCCAAAGTGGTCTATCGACCCCCCAGGGGTCTAACAAACTGCAAGGGGTCTACGACAGCAGTCATCTTGTTGTTGAAAGAGTAACAAACATCCATCCATACTCACAAACTTTCGCGTATATATATAATATTAATAAGATTTTTGTATAACGAATACAGTCTAATAAAGAATTTTGGCAGACAACGAGGTCAAAACACATGGAAAACCAATTTCGCCTTATTTTTTTTTTTTTTATATCACATAGGTGGCAATCAAGCATACGGCCCATCCGATGGTAAACGGTTACTGTAGCCCAGGGTAGGCGTTTATGCATCAACTTTATGCATCAACATGCCATTTTTCCCAAAAAATGTTTAATGGGGTCATTGAAGTGCCATCAAATAATTTTGACTTTCTGTTTATTTGGAAAATAATAATAATAAATACTATCAAAACTCTCTATGAAATAAAGTAAACAAAAGAGGTACATTTTGGATTGTTTTCATTACACGCATAAATTAAATTACTGTAAAATTAGTGTGACTTCTGTTGCTGCAGGTTAGATGACAAATAACTTATGTCAGGCTTGTGCGATGTTACTTTTAGCAAAATGCATGCTGAACTGGATTCATCTGTCAAACGGGTTCTAACCGAGTTTTTAATGTTATATGACTCGCAGGCATAGGTAGATGAATATATTAGTAAAATAGTATGAGCTAGATTCTACAAACAGTTTTATGAGCGACGACGTGCCCAAAATATTGTGTCCCGTACCGTCAATGGCACGCGTGCCATTGGTTTACCTACCCTGCCGTAGCCTATGGACGTCTGACACATGGGGTATCACGAGCGCGTTACCAACCATTAAGAAACCTTAATATACCCTTCTTGAAAAATCCCATACTGTAGTGTGGTGAGAAAACCTCGTTATTATACAATTAG